AGTGTAAGAACTTTAAGTGGGTCCCAGAATTACTAAATTATCACTGATCAGGAATTTATGAATTTAGGGATTTATGAGGCAAAGCGCTAAGTGTATTTACATCTCCATCATCAGATGAAAAAGTTATGACTTTCCCTAAAAAATATCTAGTTTCATTTCAGTTGCAGATCCACACTAGTATTTTATCATTCTTCTATTCTGTCTATGGTAAAAATATTGATATGTGTTGACAGAACTGTAACGATATGACAAGAAAGCCGCCCAGCACTGCTGACACAGATATACATTTCAGATAAGCATAATTGCTCGGAGGATCAGCTGGTCAAGGACCCTACCATGCACCTGACATGGGTTGAGACCACTGCATATTTCTATACATAATCCCTTCTTGCTCCCATTTTCTGCGTTACTCCTCACTGTCTAGCAAAGCAAAAGTGCCAAAAATCCGACGCCATGAAATCCTTTTACTTCAACTGTAACATTCGTGTTGCAGCATTAATAAATGTTGTATGCTTGCACTGAAAAGCCCAGATTAAAGTGTCTTCCCTTCCCTTTCAGCAGATGAAAAAAACAGCATGCTCCCAGAAGCCTCTGCAACATGACAGAGTTTCTCCCCTGCTGCATCTCATCTGTAACGAAATCCCTCTGTTCTCCATGAGTGGGCTTAAGCATGTGTACACAAGTATCGCACGGTGACAGGTAATGATTCACAACACAGAGAGTTTTGAAGAAGCAAATACACAAAAGTACAATATGGTGTGAAGTTCTGGAGGTGCCATAACAGCACACATACGTTGTAGCTGTACATAAATAAAAAAAATGACAGAGTGGCTGGCAATATAATGAACCAAAATTTTAACTACCTTGAGTACGCAGTCAGAGACGTGACCGCAGGCATTTATCAGCTGGAATGAGTCATCTGTATTTCGACATACTTCCTGCCTGCAGCTCACACTCAGATACACAGCTCTGTCTCAACGGCTGGCGACCCATTTGCCTGATGACTCAACACTAACAGATTTACATAACACGATCATAACACCATCAAGCTTTACTAATAGCTGAGAACAGTAAAAGTAAAAAAGCATATTTATGGAACTATATGTTCTACCTTTTTCTGTCTGTTTAAACCTGGTATTAACATGCATCTTGGGTGATCCGATCACAAGTGGACAGCTTTAAGTATGTCAGTTTATACCTGGTATTCGATTGCATCTTCACATGCGCCTCGAGTGGCCACTTATGATCAGATCTCACTTCCCCGCTCTAAATGCAAATGAACACTTTTATAGGGACGTACCCATTATTACTGTCCTTTCTTTCAGTTCAGCGGCACTCTAGCCCGTCGCTTTTAACTGCGCTGTTAGCTGGAGAGAGACGCTGGCGAACAAAACACACACTTTTGCTTTTTTGACTGTGTGGAAATCTGATGTTTTACATCACAGATGACAAAGATAATCATTAATGCCAGAGAAAGAAAAAAAATGCGCATCCTGCTCGCATCATGAAGCATCCTTCCTGCCACCGGGCTGCTGACAGGCTGTCAGCCCAAGAGTCACTCACAGTGGCCGACAGTAGAGGAGGCCGATCTCTAGCCAACCTGCTGGGAAATAACTAAGTGAGAAATAACTTTACGTGTAAAGTTTCCCGAATTTACAAGAAAGCCCAGACTGGTTTTAAATATGCACTGAAGCTTAAATTTACTGTTGGTCAGATTCTACCAAACAAAGCCTTTCTTCTTAGCTTTATTTAACCAAATCAAGCTGCTTTAAGTCGCAGAATATGAGTGATAGACAACTCTGACTGAACTAACCAACATGTTACATTTGTGAACTGCAGAACAACAATTGGTATTTGTATGTCAAACCGTTGCCAAATCTTAGCCGCTAGGTCACATCCATCAGGAATTCTGGGCATTGCAAAACATATTATACAGCTGACAGCTGGCACATTAGCTTCGGTTTGATTGTGGCCATATGGCCAGTGGTGAGGGGCTGCCATGACCCGAAACACCCCTGGTAAGATTCCCATTACAGAATGTTCTTTAGAAAGCCAACATCAACAAAAACATGATGATCCTGTAGTGACCATTACTGCCTGCCAAGCAGCTGACTACGGTTTATTACATGTATATTTACAGGCACGGTGTACCTGTAAAATGTAGCTGAAGCAGAGGCAAAGTGACTGTTAAAGCCAAAGCAGCTCTGCTCGTTGTCAGTGAGAATGTCATTGATTGTAACTCAGCCATCCACAGTTCATTCACTCTCAGGACTGTACATCAGGAACAGTGGGGTGATTTTGACAGCTGGAGCAAAATAAGTTAGAGAAAACCAACAAGTGGACACTGATGGGGCTTTATGTAGCCGGTGGCTAGTGGAGTTTTTTAATAACCACTGGACCGTGGGAATTTCATACTATGTTGAATGTAATGTTTCAAAAGACTTCCCTACAAAAAGTGCAGAAAATACTGTTTTTGAAAAACTGCATCATCAAGTCAATTTTGGTTAACCGTTGCTAACCTTGAATGTCATTTTTAACATTTGTGAAGCACATACAGGATGTTATGAATAACAGCAGTAACTTAACGCACCAAAATTAGCTGCAAATTGAATATTTAAATATTTGTGGATCTGTGGATCACTCACATTTCTGACACCAACCAACCAAGTCAGCATCGAGGCCAATGCTGATTAGATGGATCCGTTTAAGTTGAAAGGGTGGATTCTGAGAGATTAACTTTAGCATTCACACAGAGAAACAAGAACAAAGGGAAAGGGAAGGTACAAAAGGAAGGGCTGCCTGCGTGAGGGAACCTTTAACAAGACATAAGGCTGTTGATGGACACATTGGCAGTGGCAGGGTTTACCCCTGTGACCTTTCAGCTATGGGACAGTCACTGTAACTGCAAAGCACTGTGGTGCTCTGACAAGTTGACAAGCGCTGATAGAGCATTGCATTTATATTTTAGGCACTGGGCTAATGGGTATAAATGAATAGGCAGTAGATGCTTCATCGAGGATACCTCTAAATTACAGTTGGTTTTAAATTCTGTGACCCTCTAATAATGGGACAGGCTTGTTAGCCATTTTTAAGGTGAGTGAGGTGACCTGCACTCTTATCATCAGCCATGTGCGTGCCAGTTTAATAGACAACCTCATAAACAACCAATTTAAAAGGCACTCAGGGCATGTTCAAACCATCCCTGGCCCTGCCCTCCAACCACTCAGTTTTATAAGTACAATGCACGAAGATGGATGCTGACATGTGATAGCCAGCAGCGTATAAAATCTACAATAAAAAAAGGAGCTAAGGGCACGCGGCTTTCTGGGTTATTGCTATTTTCTGTTTTCTTAACACTACGGTATGAACACCTGAAAAGGTAAATGATGCTTTGTTTTGACTAGTCTGCTCATCCCCTTGACAACCTCCAGTGTTCTTGGATCAAGACACTGTGGATAGGGCCAAAACAAATACTTTCATTTATGGTTTAGACCAAACTAAACAAACTGCAGGTATGATCACATCCCTGAAAAAAATTTCAGAAGCTTCCTCCATATGTCATAATGGCAACGCCAGCTGGTGAGCTGTTTCTACTTTCACATTTCACATATCACAGCTCATACTTCTACATGCAGTGTTTCTAACTCTTAACCTTCTATTAATACTCCCCTGGCTGTGTGGAAGGACGCATATTCCAACACTGTGTTCCTTTTAACTTCATCAACCACGGCTTGGAAACAAAAGAAGAATGATTTGGTATGCACTATTCCTGCTCAAGGGTGTTAACAGTGGGCAATGAATGCAGACTATCACATTATGTTGTGAGATGCAAGCTGAAATTAAAAACAGAAGGCAAAAAAAGTGTGTTTTCCCATTGACAGGTTGTCTAATAACATCACATCCTCATTAATATTCCAACCTAAACATATGCAGAGCCCAGTGGACGATGCATGCTGTAAATCTTTGCATCAGCCTATTAAAGAAATAAAACATGGCACATTGGACGATGGATTTTCAGAGTGGCTGTTTCCTCGTTGCTAATCTACAGTCTGAGGTATCAGCGTACAAACTCAGCCACCACCCTATTACCTCAACAAGTAACAATTAGGATACTGTCGTCAATTAGCTCTCTGTACCCACAATAGCCTTCCTAATGGCCCATAAAGCACAAATACACCTATTGACCTTGTTAGACATGGAGTTCCTCAAGATGAAGCCCAATTTGGACTTCCTCTCAGGAGCTCAATGGCAGTTTTATTATGCTAAAGACTGAAATGCACAGCTTTAACACCTGTTAATCAATGTAATGCATACACAGCATATCAACTAACTAGAGAAAATTCATTCAAGACCCAAGAATTACATCTTATTTTTTTACCGACTATGACAAAATCCACGGAGGCTTGATTAAGGCTAGCATGCATAGTCTGCCTCCAGTCATTTAAACCAACAAGCTTTACTTTTTGTTGCATAGCCTACAGGCACAAAATGTACCCCACAATGTCAGCTACACAGGAGAAATTTCTCTGCTGGAAAGATTTTGTTTTATTATTTTACACAAAGCAGTATGACTCAGGCTCTTGTTCTAACTCTGTGAATAAGAGAATGCCATCACTTTTAAAGCACAGATGGTGCCAGATACACCTGTGACCATTAGGTACAGTACATGGACAACGTGAGAATATTGTCAGAGTTGCTATGGAAATGATGTTGGCTAAATGATCCGTGTAATAAGTAACCAAAAGAATGTCAGACTAAAAAAAGGCAGAGGACAGAAATCAGAAATAAAAGCACAAAGCAGGTAACCTTGAAAATATTGTACCCGCTGATCAAATATCAGAGAGCATGCCACATTCAGGTGCAGATAACTCAAATCAATCAGTGACTACTAATGGAAATGGGGTTCATTATCATTTAATACCAGCTAATATACACACACGCACACAAAAACACACACAAACAACTGCATGTACAGCACAGCAAGGACTGTTTATACGCACCTTTTACAATAAGGTTGAGGAGCTTTGGCCGCGGGTTACGCTCACTCTGAATGGAGCACGTGTACTGGCCGTCGTCAGTTACATCCACTTTCTGTATCTGAAGGCTGTACTCATGTTTGTCTCCAACGCTGGACACGATGGACACGCGTGGGTCCACAGACCACTTGTCATTCCCTGCGAATATGATGCTTGAGCGGTTCAGCCAGGCTCCTTTAGAGATCCCATCCAATAGGTAGCACCTACAGTGACAAGAGACACTTCAGTTAGACTTGGAGGAATGCTTATTTTCTGAATAAGGCAGATGTTTTCGAAGCCACTCACTTATTACTCACTTAAATAAATAATATCTCCTTCTCGAGCAGGCAATGTTAGCCGTTAGAGCAGGATTGTGTGTTCTCCCAAAAAACAAGTTCTGAGGTTTAACGTATATAAACAGACTGACATCCTGAAAGTGTTTGCCCGGTATTGACTTCATTTAATGCAACACCAGAAAGCATATGGACATTTTAGTTGCGGAACGGGCAGTGTGCCAATAAGTGAGTCATAAAACACAGAAATCTCAGCACCTGAGTGTGACTCAATGTCTTATAGCTGTTATAAGACTCGATTTGACTTGAGACTAAAATAGCCAGAGCCATGAGTAATAGTTGTGCATATGGGTGGCTGCTCTGTTGTTGTTAGACCTTCTGAATGGGCAAAGATACTTTTGACATTTCATTGTCATTGTTTTTCACTGACTGTAGAAATAGATATTCATATTCAAACAGTTGATTAAGTGTGTCTACATACATAAATGTAGGTAATACATTTCAGATTTAAGTATAAAAATGCAAAGAATGCAAATGTAGAGAAAATATGTCTCCACTTTCACTAGTAACATGTCATTGTTATAGGGATGCTGGCTTTCAAAACCCTGAGAAGCTTAGGCTTTAAGTGATAACTGAGATTGAAGACCTTTGACTTGCAACTTACAATACACAAAGTCTGTTCAAACCTGATGAATGCACAGTAGTCAGTGGCCACTCAAAAATACTCATGCAGTGTATAAGGTGGACAGAAAATGGCACAAAAGACAGAATACATCAGACATGCCACAAATTGTAAAATGTGTTTTTTTTTCCTTCACAGTGTGAACTCCTGGATACATCTGCTTGTAACTTTTCAATGTGACCATTGGTGGAAACCCAAACATCTGGTGAACAAAGTCAGTCCAGCCACAAATAATCAAACATCCCTGGCACTGAACAGGCTGTATTCTAGGACTGTATTCCGATTATCAAGACCAACGCAATTTACTTTTGAAAGCTAATTGTAGGGAGACAACGGGTCAGTAAATTGAACAACATGATGAGGCTGGGGTCATCATTGTCGAAGCAGTTGTTTTACACATCATTCCAGCCCTGTTTGGACTTGTGAAATCGCATCATATTCTGTGACAAATACTGTAATAATGACTAGGAAAAGAGGCAATCAAGTTTGGCTCTTTAGCTGTTGTCAACACGCCACGCAGACTGCCAGCACCAGTAGTAAAGCCACCGAGGAAATCAGTTTGGCACTAACCACAAAGCTCTTTACCCTCTATGCCAAGAAAGTGTCTGTCAGGAGAGCGGGTAGAGGACAATGGTCTAGTCCAAGCTGGTCTCCCCTCAGAGAAGGCACTACCCTGGAGGTATTGTGACAAATAAAGTGGCAAACAATGGAGAATGGATGGTAATAAAAACAACACAAGAGAGAAGTCCAGGTCCTTCGGAAAGTCCACACGGACCTGCCGGTTAGTTAGTCCATTGACCACCTGAGCCGTGGTGCTCCTGGCCCTAAGGCAAGATTTACTGAAGAAGCCTCAAGCCAAGTTTCACTCCTTGCTGGGTTGTTTTGTAAACAAAACAGGAATGCACTTGATCTTTACACTGGAATTTAAGGATTATTTGTCTATTATTTTCAAAAAATGGTGAATTTATGGGTTTCAAGTGCAAATTTATCTCTTTATAGGCATGCCCTATGTAAAACTGGATTCAAGCATTACATTTTCTGCCTTGAAGAGAAACAGCTTTAGTGTAGCACGGCTTGCTACCTACCTCAATGATCAGAGGCCTTCAGTGACTAATAATTGAACACACTTTTGTGGGAGCGCTGAGAGTTCCAGCTTAAGGCCGGAACATTAATGCACAATGCACTTCTTTCCTGCCCACAACCACTGATGTGAACAACTTGTGAACAACTTGCTGGGCTTTTCATCATTATATCCCTGTAAAACAGGGTAACCATAAAATAAAAATAAAAAAAAAGGTTTTCTCCAGTGCAGTTGCTATTGATTTCTCTGTTTCTTTCTTTCTTTCTCACCTGAGATTGTCCTCTCAAAATCAAATATTCACTCTATGTATGCTGGAAAGGGGGCTGTGTACTCCATCAACATAAATCAGAAGCTGTGGTTAGCTTGAATACAAGTCTGTTACTATGTACTTCAGTGGTGGTAGGTTACAGCTTGAAAAGAAATCAAAAGGTCTCAAATCAGTCCTGCAGCATAACCCGCTTCTCAACTGTCTATCCATATGATAGGTTTGTTCAAAACACTATAGTTTTGCTGTAATGTGGTTATATAAACTGCTGACCACAGCTGCTGCTCTCTGTGAAGAAGGAAACAACAAACTTTTAACAGCCACCTTTCAAGGATATATTTGGGACAAAGTATCACTTTTACAAAGAGCACTGCCAGAAGTATGGCTGGAGGACACTTCTCCCAGACAGGATCTCTACTTGAAGCCTTGACATTTTTCTTCATCCTGATGAGCCAGTCCTTGGTGTTCTTTCGCTGTTTTTGCAGTTTGCTTATCACTGTTGAGTGTCTTTGCATTCTCCCTCCAGGAATTATTAGTGTTATCTCACTGTCTTTGTAATCTCACACCAAGGAGTCATACAGATGCCTGTAACTATACACCTCCTCACAACACCGTGTGTCAAAACAGGCCATTTTTACATTAGCACTTTGTCTCAGGTGTTGTTGTTTACTGTGGCTGCTTCCTTCTTTAGTTGCTCCTGTCTTGAATAGGAACTGCATGGGAACTCGTCACAAATGTGGCATGAGTTTGACAACCCAATGTGGCAGATTTAGGCTGTTTTAGGCCAAACCATTTTGGTTGTCTGTGATATCGCCCAATTCGATGGAGTGTAGACTCAGAGATAAAAAAACAACAACGGATACAGATGACATACATGTATAGAGTATTGTGATAAAACTGTCAGTGGCCTAAATCTGCCTGAAACATCAACAAACTCCCTGAAATCAGTTGTGTCAACTCAGTATGTCTTCAATCGCCAAACACCAGAGATTCAATGCTAGTTTACTTTATATATGTTGCCTGCAGATAACTACAAAGTAACTTTTATTATTATACGTACTTTATCCTCCTGCTTGTTTTTACTAGATGGAGAGGTGGTTCATCAGAGACAATTTAGCTGGACTATTTAACTGCTTGTCATCTTTACTGATAAATGTAAGCCAGAGCAGATCCTGTTTAATGCTGGTGACCCGCAAGGATTTCAGTGATTACAGTCCTTGGTTTTTACGATGTTTTAAGAAGTTGGCTTTGTACGTTTACCTTGTCTTGTTTTATTCCATTTCTCTGAAAGGGAAAATGATTTCATTCCACACTTTGACACTAAGTCATTTTGGAATATATGTGTGATATATATGAAAAAACAACACGCTACATCATGTACCAAAACCAATTCCCCCTGTCCATCCTCTCAATCAAGCATAGCAACACAAAACTAATAAAACCTAAAGTGGGCTTTGCTTTCATCAAGCCCCATTTCTCTAGGAGCACACCAGGATACAGACTTCCCGTGGTTTATACAAAGCTCAGGTAATTATTCCAGCGACCTCAGAGCATCCACTCTGAAGCAGCTTTGACACCTGAAACAAGCACTAATTGATACTTTTATTTATCCCCGCTTCTGACGAGACTACAGGGAAACCAAATTTTTTTTTTGGTATTCTGGCTCAAAAATTCAAATTCAAAGTTCAATTCAAACCCCGGTGATTATGCACATTGTGAAAACAAAAAGGAAAGGGATAAGCTGGTGTTTGAACACCTCACATGAATGGAAAATGATGACAAACCATTAATTACAGTATGGCAGCTGGTAAGAGAAGCAGATTGTAATCTGTTAGCCAAACTCTCTCATTCTTTGATTGGATGCCATTATTAACACTGGGGCACCATCCTGACCCAGATTGTTATTTGCTTTATAAAATTGTTTTCTAGTTTCCTCAACTGTAAATATTCTTCCTGGCACAAACTCCACAAATCTCGTCTTGCAAACATATTTCAGTGTTTCACAGTCTAGTAGTTCACATTCAGCCTTTCTTTCTCTCCATTTGGCAGAAGAAATGAACACACTTCTGGATAGGTCCTTCTGTTGCCTGAGATTTGTTGTTATGTAACAGTTACATAATAAACACAGAGGATGTTTACACTTTGAGCCATGCAGACCCCACATGAGCTCATTATTCCCTATGTTTTTCCTGACTTAAATTAGGAATGATGCATGATGACATTGGCACATCATTTAAATTTGTTCTGATATGATAGGCCGATAAGTGCAAGATATGCATTTTATTTTGAAAAGCAGTTCATAACCTGTAGTTTATGCACTCCTGAGGCGAAGATGTAGTGAGAAGAAAGTTCATTAAAAAACTTCACAAACTTTTAGAAAACATAAAGCCTGTTTTGCATAAGAAGTCCAAATGAATTATTATTATCAACCAATAATTTATTGGCTATAATTTAATATGATGATAATTTATAATAATGTAAATCTCCCATTATCCACTGTTGCATCCCTACCGATAAGATGACGCTTGAATTCTACCGTTAACGTGTGAGGGTGGGCGGGCCAAAGATGACATCACCATGTCTGTGGGTGTAAAAGAGGGACAAGTGTGTCTGCAGTGCGGAGATCTTTTAAAGATTCAGAAGTGGATAACAAAGTTGCAAAGATTGTTCAGCGTCGTCATCGTGATCATTCCGATGAATTTGTGAAGAAGAAAAGAGAGAAACAGGCGGCAGCAAAAACACCCTGTCAGAAGCCTCTTCTCCAGTCCTTAAAGCCAAAAAATGTGAATGCGACCCCCACAGGGCCAAAGATATCCATCCGAAACACATGGAGTGTAGTTCTCTGAACAACCAGCTGTTTTTGTTTGTTGCACTATGTCTATCAATGTTCTTTCTTTGCTTGC